GTAATACTTCTGGGTATACAATATTTTGAGTATATCCAGCATTTGCATGTTGTCCTATTGTTAGTATCTTAAGATTTTGTTTAGATGTTGTCCTGGAGCAAGCAACATAAAGCTGGCCATGAGAAAATACAGGTGTGGGCAGATAAATTCCAACATTATTCAATGTTTGGCCCTGTGCCTTATTTATCGTCATGGCAAAAGCAGGTTGTACAGGAAACTGACGTCTCTTAAGCACAAAAGGAAATGTCATATTAGAAGGTGTAAGAGTAATCCTTGGAAGAAATGTACGCAATCCTGCATGTTTTCCAGTAATAACTTGAACTTCAATAACATGCTGTGCAAATGAACAGCAAACTAAACGTGTTCCATTACAAAGACCCTCTGAAGGATTGATATTACGAAGAAGTATAATAGGAGCACCTATTTTTAATAATAACTTATGTGGTGGTAACCCACTAACATTTAAAGAATTTAAAAATTCAGTTGGGTAAGTATTTTCCTGATTATTGCCTTGAGTTTCATCAATACTATCAGCACTCAAGTATTCAACTTCTTCACCTGGATATATATTCATCATGGTTGAATTAATTAGCTGAACATCTGCATTTTTTGGAGCAAGAATTCCGTGTTGCATTAAATAACTTGAATCACCAGCATGAATAGATATATTTGGATAAACAGAATCTATTAATTCATGTATACTTTGTGAAGTGAGACAAATATTATCTGGAAGTTTAATATAGTTGCCTCTCTCAACAATCCGTTCAGCACGATCTTCACCAATTTCCAAAAGCCATTCAGCAAAATTTTGGCATTCAATAGTCTCCTCAGTACTTTCAGCTTGTCGTAAACGCATGTTAACAGTTAATTTTATAACTTTTACATGATGCCACAGGGGAGAGCATAATAAGCAGGAGCTGACAATATCTTCTCTTCTTCCTTTAGGGACTACTGGCAAAATTTGACGAAAATCACCTCCAAATACAATAACTTTTCCACCAAATGGCTGGTTTTGCAAGTCAGGATCTACTGCTTTCATTAAATCTCTGAGAGTTCGGTCAACAGCCTCTGGTGCAAACCGATGTGCCATAGGAGCTTCATCCCAAACAATAAGACTTGCTTGCTGCAAAAGAAGTGCATGATCTGTACCATGTGATATATTACATACTGAATCCTCATGTAATTCAAATGGGATTCGAAAAAGTGAGTGTGCAGTACTGCCTCCATCCAGTAAAAGAGCTGCAATACCTGAGGTAGCTACTGCAAGTGCTATATGTCCAGTGGACCTGATCTTGTCTAATATAGCACTATATAAAAATGTCTTACCTGAACCTCCAGGGCCATCCACAAAAAATACAGCAGGTTGTTGATTTTCAACAGCCATAATTACTGCATCAAAAATAGATAGTTGTTCTGGGTTTAAACATGAATAGGCCTCTTGAGCTCTAACTTTAAGAAGATCATGGTCATACTGCAATTCTTTTGCAAGTAAATAATTCTGGTGAACATGATCTTCAGATAATGGAATTGGTACAGGCATGTCTGGAAAGTTAGCAAGACAGAATCCATTTCTGATTAATATAGCTTCTAATTGATTTAATGCTATATTGTGTATATCAGAATCAATAAATGTATAGGCAGGGTTATTTTCAGCATCTGAACAGGCTTGAAACAGTATATCATCACTAAAAGCAGTGATGTATTTTTGCCAAAGCAATTCTGGGTGAGTAGGATAACAAAACATAAGAATAGTAGCAAACAGATACCGCATTTGGGATCCAGATTGTATACGTTGAGCCTCATTCAAACAGTCATCCCATTCTTTATCATCTTGAAGCAAACCTAAAGCTTCACAGGCATCTTTAAAAGTAGAATAAAAGACATTATTGACTGTTTTAAGATGCTCAAAAGATGTTGCACCATGCACTATGTTTAGTAGCATACGAAGATAGTATCGTTCTCCAGCTTTTGGATGTACAAAATACATCTGACCAATAGTATTTCCTCTCTGTCTAGGCTTCCATTCCTTGTGTACTCTATTGTAGACCCATTGAGTAGGAAAGTCACCATATGTTAGTTCACATGCAGCTGGAAAACATTGATTTGCTTTAAACCATGCAGTTAATGTGGTCTCAGAGTTGTTTTCACGTGCAACTATCTCATCTAAACTTTCATTGTCTTGAAAAATTACAGTATGCTGTCCAGGGAGGTGAACCTGAAGTCTCATAATATCAGGTTTCTCATTATGTAATTTGTAATGAAATAGTCGCCAAGCAGCTTCAGAGGCAAAAACATAACGTGCATCTAAATAGAGACGAATTTCATTAATTTCCTGTGTTGGTACTACTTCATTTGCTCTTCCTATTTCAACTGTTGCTCGGTCATGGCCCTTATAAACATACTTAAAAAGATATTTAACAGCAGCAATAGAAGAACATATTTCAACATTAATATGTGCATCATATTTTGTAGCAAGATAAAGATTATGTGGTACCACCCAACAATTATCTAATCGTGCACCTTTAACCTCAACAGACCGTCCATCATGAGAACGCCGGTAGACAGGATAACCATTTTCATTTATAGAAGTCATAGTACAAAAGCTACGTGGATATTTTTTTGAGCATTTCCCTGCTTTCATACATGGGGCATTTGGATATGCAAAACCACATGGACCATGCATCATTGATCGGCAAATAGTATCATATGCCATAGGATGAAGATTTTTATCAGGGATTTCAGCAGACACAATAGCATCATAATCTTCAACAGTTTTTGGCTTACTACTTTGATCAAGAATTAAAAGGATATGAGAATGAGGAAGACCACGTTTTTGAAATTCAATCACATAGACATAGGCCACAACTATCCCAAAAATATGATGCTTAATAATATCATTCAATAGAGCTTTCAATTTCATATTGAAGACTCTGGCTGTGAGATCAGGGCAATCTGAAGCTACCTGATTATTAAAAAGTTCAGAAGTAATTTCAGGCCAAGCAGGATTGCATGTAAATGTAATAAAGAGATCAGGTTTACCCAACATGCGTACAATGGCCATTGCATCCTGATATAGTTGTTGCATCTGTCGTGGCCCACCAGTAAAACTTGATGGAAGAATAATTCGCCTGCCTATATTAGCTGCAGTTAGATTTTGAGATGCTTCATCCTGTGCTGTCAAAACATCCTGAAGCCCACTATAAAGATCTGCTCGAATCCTTTTTTGATTATACTTTAAATAATTTAGGCGACTTTGTTCCACATTTGCATATGCATCAACAATATATTGTTGGAAGAGACGTTCAAAAAGATGAAGATTCATTCCCTCTCCAGGTCTACCTACTTGTAGTCGATATGCATAATATTGCATCATGGTGACATGTTTTTGAGGCTTAATGCTATCTTCATCATGTTGCTCTTCAACATCAAGAAAATGTGGTTGTGTCCCATCTCGGATTGAAATTGTTGGATGCCATCCATCTTCCCCTCTTGGAAAAAGAAGAACATAATGCAATGGTGCATATGCTCTATGTAGCTCAGATATACGCTGTAAACCTCCCTCATGTGAATGTAAAACAATATCACGATTGCATACATTAGATGGATTATTGTTATCACCTACTATAATAGCAGCAATTTCAGAAGTAGTTGGAACATTATAACATCATGAATCTGTTATTCTTGAATCTGTTATTATCATAGTCAAATTTTGAGATAGATTCTGCTGAAATAATCTACCTGTTTGTTGAAAAACTTGTACATATGGGTTAATATCATGAAGCATATTCTGAAGAGCTGCAAGAGTTACCTGATTTAAAGAGGGCATGATATTAAGTCTATTCTGAGTCTCATTATCAGTATCAAAAATATAGATTTGTGCAAATGAAGGAGATTTAACAGTTGACTGAGGAAAAAGAGACCCAATTCTATGATACATTTCACCATGTATACAGAAAGTATAAGGACCTCTTGTGCCAGTTATATGATCATCAATTTTAGCTCCTATAGAAGTAAAAGCTAAAGCTGAGTTATAAGCACGGATGTTTCGTTGGAATTCTTGTGAAGCTGCATCATCACCCATTAAATAAGACTTTAATACTGCTGGAGGTTCTTGAAGACATGGTAGCAGAACTTTTCCCCGGGCACAGCAGGTTGCAAATACAGGTGAATGTTTAGTTGATTCTGTGACTCTTTCATCTAACCATTTTAAGGCACCACAAGAAAAACATGGAGTATCCATTTTTCCAAGAGTATGTCGTTGTAACCTACTTGAATTAAAAGGATACACACATGCTTTTGGAACTGAAACACTCCTTGATACCATGGTAAGATCCAGAAGAATGTCATCTTGGTGTAAAGGTCCATTAAGGGGAAGAGGAATAATAAAGTTAGTATCAGTAGTAGAAGATGAAGACTGAGCAGGTGCAGCAGTTGCTTTGCATGCAGATTTTCGAGCCTTTGATTCTCTTTTTTGCCTTTTACGCCGTCCATTTTGCTCTGAAGTTTGGTTAGCTTTTGTTCGAGTATTAGACTCTCTTTTCAATCTACGTCTTCGTTCAATTGAGGTTTCGTTAACGTTGTCCATAATAGTAATAGTAACAGTGTTAAAATTTGAGTCGTGTTTGTAACAAAAAAAGGCGTTGCGATTGTAAACAAAAAAGTAAAAGGCGTTGCGGTTGTAAACAAAAAAAGGAGTCGCGGTTGTAAACAAAAAAAAGGCGTCGCGGTTGTAAACAAAAAAGGCGTCTACCGTACAGAAATCCAATTTTTTTAATATAGATATATAGATATATAGATATATAGATTACGACAGACGCGTTCGAATCTAATGCATTATTCGAATCACATGACCTTTAAACGAAGAAAAACTGATCACGCGAGTGTGAAATGTGGCTGCGGATATCTCTTTCATTTCTCGTCACTGCATGAACAATGTCTATCCCGCGTGGTTTCGAAGGTGGGTGCTTTCCGAAGCAAAAAGACCACTGCAGCATCTAACACTTCACTTTGTAGTCCTCAAGCCGTACTTTCTCCAGGCGTTGGAGAAAAAGTATGTTCCGTCTTTGGCAGAGTTTATTCGTTTGAATGTTGATTTTGTCGCTGGGTCACCTCCAGCAACCACCGACGTTACAGGATTGACTGGCATATGGACGAAGCGTTTTGCCACCGCTGCGAGTCTGTTAGGCATTGAAAACGGAAGTATTCGGTCTCAAATTTTTCAGTTTACTTAGGGCGCTCGCGTTAGGTTTTGCCCTGACTGTGAGTATAGGTGTCGTCCCTTGCCCAAGTAATGGTGGTGGAAGCTTCGGTTCAGTTTTCGCTCTGACCACGGTAGATAGGTGTCGTCCTCAGCCCCACCATTCATTGCACATATTAATATTGCAGTTTGCTATAGATCAATCATTATAAAACGTGAAGTTGGTGACATTAATCTCTTTTTCAATATATAGATTGTCAAAGACAAGCCTGATTGGTCTCCTGTCGTTGAGCGGAGATTAATGGTAGGCTTCAAAAGTTCTTTTGATCTTTTTGCTCTTGTTATTAAAATCGGCATATTACAGAACGAGATCGCGAGCAATCGTCGCAAGAAAACACTTATCATGTATACAAATGAGACGAACTATGTCGGAGATCGACTGTTAGAGGATCAACTCAAAGAAACAGGCAAGAATGAGATTACGTCCAATGTAGAAAGCATTGATGAAGGCATATTGTCTCCTTGTGAAGTTGTCCTGAAAGTGCACAAGCAAATATGGACTAAAAGGAGCGAGCCAGAAATTGATGATGGAACTGATACTAGTAAAGTGTGTGAGCTCGCCAGTGAACAGTCCTCTATGAAAGTGTTTACTAAGGGTCGGGAAATGTCAAATGTTTTTCTTAACAAGAATGACTTGCCATGCAAGAGAGAAGATGGGGAAGACACTGAGATCAATGAAGATGATGTAGACCTTACTGAACTGCACCAGCCACATATAACAAGAAGTAGTTCTGGAAAGGCAATGACTCTAGATGAATGGGCTGCAGTACGACTATTGGTAGAGAAGTACAACACTAAAATACCAAAAACACAGTGTCTATACAAGTAAGTTTATCATGTGTTCTTCATTCTTCAACATCATCAAAAATTTGGATTGATAATTTATTCTTTATGTTTTATTTCAGTCCATTGTTTTATTCCATCATTGATCATTCAGGTCAGCATGGGCCTACCACAAAATTGCTTGAACAATATTTGCCATCTATGCAAAGGTCACTTCCAGATGTGAACTTCACTATCCCTAAGCTCTCCGATGAGTTAAATGAATTCTTTGACAAGTTGCTTGAGGTATACACTTTACTCTGCATATTTTATTATATATGGGACAAATTTGCTAAGTTTTATTATAGGAAAAAGACTTGCAGGATGTCCATGCTTCAACACCTGAACAGCAAACAGTCAAGACATTGTTTGATAGAATGTGAGTCTTGGTTCTAATGTCTACTGTGACAAGTTTTTATAGTAATAGTGATGATATTTTATTATTGTGTTTATTTTTCAGCTATGACTCGATCAATGGCCCTGATAGAGATGACTTGTCAGAGTATGAGCACATTATGCGCAATTTAGCACCATTTGTAGATGCATTAATCAGAAAAGCACCAAACTACCGTGCATGCTAGTAAGTTGAACTTCAGTTGATGTGCTATTACTATTGATTTGATTTTCTTTCAAGCCATTTTTAAAAAAAAACAAACAAAAAAACACTTGTAATAGCTTTGAAAATACAACAGCTGCACACTGTAACAAGGGTGGAGATCCTACTGATCAAACATGGATAGGATTAAAAGTTGATGTTCTTGTCAAGTTTCTTGGACTATACTGGAGACCTGACATTGGATGCATTGAGGTGTCAGGTGGTCTTCCTAGGTGTAATCTTGCCAAAGAATGGATTGATACACTCAAGCTAGGAAGGGAGATGTGTGACATATGGCTTCTTGCCCAGGATCAGCTCAAGGGCATTGATGCCAGTTCATTAGTTGTGTGGGGATCCACAGTTGTTGGTGAGTGATTACTTTTTATCTAACATACTGTATTTGGTATATTATTTATTTTATTGACTCACACTTGTCATAAAATAAACAATTCCAGCACATACCATTCGTATCTATGCACTTGCTGCTGTTGGTGGCTTCTTTCATCTCATTCTTGCTTATGAGACACCAATACCATCATCAATTTGGGATATGTGTTATATCAAGATTGCATATTGTACAATGTTAGGCTTTGTACAAAAACTGGATACTACCAAACTGAAATTAATTGAGCTGACCAAGGAAAGAGCAAAGTTGTTGTACTCATACTCAGGGGTTAAACGGAAGGATTCACCTGTCTCACTTGCTACTCCATTACAGAAGAGAAGTAAAACTGAAACCAAATAATTGCATTTTGCTACCTAGATAATGACATTGTCTATTACTATTGCTTTAGGCAGAATATTTTCATATAAAATAGGGCATATTGCAACAAAATAGGAGAAAGTAAACATTTGATCACATGAACTAAAAATAAAAATGGCTGGTGTGGCTGAGAAGACATATGGTACTGATGAGAACACACATTATTTATACAGTATTATTGAATGGTATACTATTTAAAAAGGATTTGTAAAAATTTCATCAGTTCAGTATTATTGTTATTAGGTATATGACCAATAATATGTTCAAAAAATCTTTTTTCATTATATGTAGCCATAAACTTTTTCATAAAATGATAAATTTATTAGTTGATAATAATAATTGATTGGAAAAAAAATTGAGATAAAAGGCTAAATTTCTGTGTCTTGGTGGCTGCCAAGTTCTCTGTTGTGTCCTAGCATTAAGAACTCTATTGCAGGGATTTAATTTGTTTGTGACAGGATTGAAAAGTGTCATAAATTTTGATAAAACATGTCATTATGTATGTTTTCTTTAGCAATGAATTACTAATGACTTGAGTATTTCTAGTGCTGCTTGTCTTTCCCTGATAATGGATTGCTGATCAGTGGTGCTTATTTCTAATGTATTGGCTACCTCTAATGGCTCATCTTAATATTGAATCTTCAATATGCTGATCAGAGTTACAGATGCTCTCACTGTCTAGTGATGCATAGTCCTTGTCCAGGATCATTGTATGTATATTCCAGTAAGTCCAGATACTGACCAAAATCTTCTGAAGCTGTCATTTTTTACTGTTAATCTATAGATTGATGATCACTTTCCTGAGTGCTGTTCCAAAGTGTATTGTCTATTTGAATGCTATAATGTCCATAAAAAGCCAGAAACAAGTCTGATTTTTGTTGCTACCAAATCAAGTAGGGATGACTTAAATATGCTGGATATGAACAAATCCATGACTCTATATTGATGCACATCATCCACACTTTTTCCTTTTGCAATGTTCCATTCCCGTTTGAAGGAGTGCCACCATAAGGGAGTTCATGATTGTTACAATATCTCCTCCACATATCTATTTGGTCAGTAACTAATCATTTGGTAATAATTTGTGTTAATTGGTCAAGTTGCAGCTGATTGTATCTGTATTTGTAATTGTATTTCAATACTTGCCAGGGTGACTCAACTATCATTTTGTTGTGTGAACAAGAAGTGGAAGAGTTTGTGGATATAATGCACAAGCAAAATGATCTCAATGTTTTTTTTGATACCAATTACGCCATAGGTATACCCACAAATGTATTAAATCTTTTGATTGACAAAACTGATACCATTATGCTGCTTCCACTTGCACTGCATTAATCTGACCAATGTCCTTGTCAACCAAAACAAATGTTGGGAGCATGTTCTCATGCCATAAAGCTGAAGGACAGAACAAAGAAGTTGGATCCCCTCTTGCGATTCACTCCCAATTTTGAATTCTGTCATTGCTATGATTGTCTGGTTCTGGCGAGTTTTCTAAAGGAACAAATGGGTCCAGGTACAGGTATGCCAATGGTATGCCATATCTGCTGTTATTGACTATTACAGCAAAAAAGTTCAAAGCATTTTTGATTTGTCTTAAATGTTGAGTCAATAACCAGCTCAATGATGTTACTTCTCTCAATAAGTTGTAAGAATGGTGTAACAAACCCTAGAGCTCTTACAAGATTATTTTCAAGATAAAAATTTACTTTATAACCCTCATTCACTTGTGCACTATGTTTGAGAAAATTTTTAGATGACTTGAGCTGATTTCTGGTATCAGTGACAAATTGAATTTTTGATAATTTTGCCACCCAATAATACACTTGTTGGTATTTCTGGGTCAATCAATCTCTCATTAGATAATCTCTTGTAGAATTCAACCTTACATATGCCACCATAATTAATATTGTTTTGTGGGGGATATTATGTCTCCATGGGTTGGCTTTGGGTGACTGCATTGATGACTAAACGAGATTTTTGGGGGAGATCGATTTTCATTATTATGCCGCCCTTACCTGGATAGCGTTCAATAGCTGGTCTAACCTCACGTTTGATTCTGGAAAATTGACAATCTTCTCTCTGTGTACAATCAAAGTACACTGTAGTAAATTCGCCATCCTTTTTGTTGACATGGGTTTTGCGGATTTCCCAATAATATTCTGACCCGTTTTCTATTTGTAGATGCTTTACAATTTTATGTGCACAATTGTTAAACTTGTATCATTTACACTGGTCAAGCTCTACTTCTAAACTGAAGCTTATTGGTTGATCATCTTTATTAGTAAATTCATCTTTTATCGCAGCTTCAATGTCTTTGACGTTGTAAATAAGACCATCAAAAATCGCCTTCGTCATTTATTTCATTTCTGATTTCCGTGTTGCTCTGTCCAATTTCTTCAGATTCTAATGTGTCCATATTTTGTTCAATAGAGCTTGATACCGATCGGTTTTTCTTTGCATTCATATAACACATAGAAAACTCTTTCGTCTGCTGACCTCGTTTTCTATTTAGTTTCATCTGCTGTGATATCACTGATAGCTAAATAATGATAATAAAAATTTGAGACATTTTATCAAAAACGGTAATAGTCATGGCAGAATTTCGATCACATCACATAGAGATTACACTATGCTTCGTACTTACTTATTTAATAATTACGTAGTTGTGGCTTCAATCACACCACATTGAGATTACTATCGCTTCTTATGTTGTGGCTACATTCACACCGCATCGAAATTACACTATCGCTTCTTATGTTGTGGCTTCGATTACACCACATCGAGATTACAGTATCGCTGCTCGCATAATTTGATCATAAATATTATACACCAATTGCAATATAGATAGTATAGATATCGAAATCCAAACTGTTTTTTATTTTCAAAAGTATATGTCAAGAAAGAAAGTGGGCGTATACATAACGAATTGTGCAAACGTCAGGTGAGGAATTATGCAAATCAAATTTGTCAGGTGAGTGTGCGAACAGAATTGTGCAAATCAGGTGAGTCGCATAAAAAGTACGTATAAAATAATCCACATTCCACCTCAAATGAATCTACTACTACTTCACTTCTGTCGAAATGAAATCCAATGAAATTAATAGAATAGAATAGAATAGAATAGAGAAAGTATTATAGTTATAAGATTGACCCCCAACTTTACTGCATGAAGCTAATTATTTGGAGCGAAAAATCAGCTTAATACGGACTAGCACAAAAAAAGACACCAATTGAGATCAGCTGACCTACGAAAACAAAATTATAATAACGTTAATTAACTGTAAGTTTCTCCTTTTCATTGATCTTATTACAGCTGATATTACTGATACTTCTGTTCGCTAACAATTACGCGCAAGAACAAAACTGTTTTAGAACTAACTTCTTTACTCGAACTTGGTACCGCACGGAAGTGCCATGTTGCTCAATACTAATTTTGTAGACACTCATACGCTCGCTTTGTGATAAATAGAAACGGAAAGTCTTCTACAGCAGTAGCGTCAAAAAGTGCTTGCCACCAGCTAACTTCTAAATTACTTCACAGCTTACTGCTTACTGAATTGCTTCCATAATGTGTAGAATAGAAGTCGCAATTCGTATTTATATGTCGGAATATGTGTAACATTACATTTACAACTCCCGTTACACTAACGTATCTTCCTGGACTTCAGTCTTGTCGTTGATATTGACATATTAACTTTTGCATACATTGGGTGAAAATTTAATAACACTGATCATGATTCTACGCCGAAAAAAACTTTTTCACATACTCGTGTATGGTTATACTGGAATGAAAAAGGGACCAACATGCACAGAGCAGCTGGACAAGGAAATGCCAATGTTTTACAATATAACCTTGGTGTATGTTATGCTAATGGAACTGGAGTAGAAAAAGATGAACAAAAAGCAGTTGGATGGCATAAAAAAGCAGCTGAACAAGGGTTTGCCAATGCACAATATAATCTTGCTGAATGTTATGAGGATGGAATTGGAGTAGAAAAAGATGAACAAAAAGCAGCTGAACAAGGGTTTGCCAATGCACAATTTAATTTTGCCATATGTTATGCTAATGGAACTGGAGTAGAAAAAGATGAACAAAAAGCAGTTGAATGGTATAAAAAAGTAGCTGAACAAGGAGATGCCAATGCACAATATAATCTTGGTGTACATTATGAGGGTGGAACTGGAGTAGAAAAAAATGAACAAAAAGCAGTTAAATGGTATAAAAAAACAGCTGAACATAAACAAGGGTTTGCCAATGCACAATTTAATCTTGCTGTATGTTATGCCAATGGAACTGGAGTAGAAAAAGGTAAACAAAAAGCAGTTGGATGGTATAAAAAAGCAGCTGAACAAGGGTTTGCCATTGCACAATATAATCTTGCTGTATGTTATGAGGATAAAATTGGAGTAGAAAAAGATGAACAAAAAGCAGTTGACTTATACCAGAATGCAGTAAAACAAGCACATTTGTCAGTGCAAGTTAAAAACAGCAGGCATTATTCTTATAGCAAAACAACTGGATTAGGTTTTGACATTAGTCTTGTAACTAACTTGTGTCAATTAGAAGCTAAAAAAGGAGATCTTTATGCACAATATATTCTTGGTCTGTATTATGAAAATGGAATCGGGGTAGAAACTGATATTAAAAAGGCACTTGAGTTTTATGTAAAGGCAGCTGAACAAGGATATAGTAAAGCACAAAATAAAGTGTACATTTTCTATAGAAATGAGTCAGAAGTAAAGAAAAAAATAAGGGAGAAAGTCGAGTAATATAAAACTGGTCATTAAAAAATTTGTTACCAGTCCAGTGGTGACCAAATTGTTTTTGGATAGGAATTTATATTCACTTTTTATTATGAATAGCAATGATGTTATCAATGATATTCATTTAAATAAAACAATACGAAAAATATTGATTGTTTAAGTATGTTGCATGTCAGATCGGAATTTATGTCAGTTCGGAATGGACATATGTCAGATCG